TTTCTGACCCGATATACTGAGAAATGCAGCAAATAAACATTATAGCACCTAACAGCTTTGAAAAGCAATTAAATCATTAGTTCACCCTACATTACAAAGCCAATAGCAGTTGTTGCTGTTATAACTTACCCGACATTTGTGACAGCATTCGCCTCTGTAACAAGAAGCCCCCGGTGCGAGCAAGCAGCTGGAGGAGATGCAGCATCCTTCTTGGAGGCATGCCTAGAAGTAAATAATGCTGTACCATCTCGGTATGAGAGGTTCTTATTTGGATCATCTTCTCTAGCTTAAGAGACACAGAATTAAAGGAAGTTAAGGGAAAACTGCTGGTTTCTGCTACTCTTCAAACTCTGGACATTCTGGAGTTCTGCGTTGAGGGGAAATATGCCTCGTGTTGACACTTTTAAAACAATTTGCCTTTTTCTCTCAACACTAATGCTTCTGTCTTGTCTCCTCTGTTAATCAGCCAAGCCACCTGCTTCACAGGGGCTCTCTAAGAATAGGTTCATTAACGTTTTGAAAGTACTTGGAAACCTCTCTGAGCACTATGGGAGAGATTAGTCTCCTTTTCTAGAATTTTTTTCCTTCTTTCATACTTTCCTTCCTTCCCTTTTAAAACTCTTTCAGCAGTGATCCACCATTTCCTTAAAAGTTCAAATTCCCAATCCCAAATCATTCAAGGCGCTAGAGCTGATGGACTCTGAACATAAACTCATGTAAACAAAGTTAGTTACTCAAATTTTAAGAATACCTGGGGTGTAAGGGTCTCTGCTTTGTAAGGAGAGCTGGTTAATGGCTTTTTGGCATAAAAACAAGGAAAGGAAACAGGAACAGTAATGAATTGATCACAAAAGGATAACGAAGAGGAGATAATGGGGACGTTAGCGAAGACCAGAGCTCTCAGGTCGCTGATGGAAAACAAGACCTTTTCAGGGTCTCCTGAAAAGACCAAACTTATAATGTGGTATCTGAGAGGGAATGTAGAATTGCGTAAAACCTATTGTGGGCAAATGTGGGAAGTGCAAAGCTTTGTGTGGGATGGTTAGGGGAAGGACCAAAGGCAGGGAGAGATTAAGGTGAATTGGGGAGGAAGAATTGTGGGAAAATGGAAAAGGGGGCGGATAAAAGGGGCTGATAAAAAGGGTCTGCTGGTCAGGGCACTTGTATGGCTGAGCCCCGTGCCTGATTGAGGAGAAGAGGTCTGGGACCAGTTGTTGGAGAGACCAGGGGTCTGGGGGCTGTAGGTGGTGGTAGGGTTTGTTTTTTCCTAGCATAATTTCTTAAAGCAGGTGAATCCTCTTTGTCAGCAAGGTGCAGGATGTTCAACCCAAGCCTGGATATCAAACACGTGCAAATCGCTCTACGTGGGAAATGTCAGTGCAAAGGCTGAGTTTTGCCAAAGCTACAGAAGCTTTGTACAAATAACGATTACACAAACAAGGGTTTCCACTGGAAACTTTCCAAAGTGGTCACAACTGCATGGATCCTGGAATTAGAGCTGTGAAGATATCAACATTCAAGTACTTCAGAAAAGCACTTCTTTCACTGGCTGTGGGGTAAATATAACAGAAGAAAGAACAGAAATAGAAAAACTCTCATTTTACAGACAAGAAGATGCAGGTGCTCATAACCTGCTTGTATATAGAGCGGCTTGGAGGCAAAGACATGTCCCTTCTGCAGAGTTTCCCACTTTGACTGCAGCACTGATCAGATACTTTTATTTTCTTCAGACCCCTCATTCTTATGAACATTAGTACAGAAGGAAAACACCTCCCCATGTGGACGAGGTATGGAGAGGTCTCATCTCTCTCCCAGCAGCGTGACTCCTTATGACTCCTTATCAGACACTTGCAGACAGAGTCCGCCGTTAGCTCTGCACAGAGTCTGCCACGAAAGGTCCCTCCATAGCCATGGAAGAAGAACTGAATTTACCTCTAGATATGCTTTGCGTATGTTTACACACATCATGCATATTTTGCTCACAAATAAAGGCATATTTGGGAAAATCCCCACTTCAAGGGAATTCACAGAAGTGGAAGCCAGTGGACTCGTTTGAATGTGTAAGACTGCAAAGATCATTTCTTCCCATGAGTCAGGGAGCTTTTATAGTTGCAAAACCACCACAATTTTACTAACGCTAGTCTAACATGTAGATCGCAGTGAAATATTTAATTGCTAACCTTGTCACTGCCACAGTCACATTCTTCCCCTTTTTCCAAGACACCGTTGCCACAGAGTTCAGGAAGAAGTGGCCTTAAAGATGGTACGTTGAGTAGACAAGGTAGATTTTTTCTTATTACTTCATTGTAATATTCTCCCATAGTGCAGTTACTGAATGCCAAGCAAGATCTGTAAGAAAAAAATATTAATTATATATAACCATACCATATACATAAATAATTGATAGGCTCAAAGAACAGATAGATAAACTAGCAAAGAGGAATAGGGGCAGTTTTAGGGGGAGTAAGCCTTTTTTCTCTCCTTTTTTCCTGTATAAAGACATGGGAGACAGGAATAGTTGCCTGGATGAGAAAAGAGGAAGACCACAAAGCAGCTTTGAAAGTGTTTTGGTTGTTGTGGAAAGCTGAAGGTGGAGGACAGGACACACTGCAAACGCGAGATTAGGTATGATGCATTACAATGTGGAGAGCAGATCACCAGGTGTGAAAGAGGGATCTACTTGCTTTCATGTGAACGCTACAAAAACTAGCTGGAACTTGCAAAGTAACCGGGGGAGAAACAGGGCGGCATCATGCCTAGCTGCTCAAATCAATGACAGCTACTCATGAACTGTGCAGCAGTGTGGGCATGAGAATTTCCAGATGAGAAGTTATCTCTTACAGAGGATTTTAAAAGAGAAATTGAATGCGGTTTGTAATCGTATGAATTAAGAAGAAAGCTGAAGTAAGATGGTAATGTAGTGAGCATGATGCAGATATCAAAGAAAATGTAGACGTGGCCCAAAACAAAAGGAGAGCTTGCCCTTAGCTTTGGTAAGCATGATGTCAGGCAGCACTGATGGGACAACAATAAGGAACAAGGCTGTGCAGACATCCCTTGAAGTGCTGAGGGTTTACATACCCCTAGGGTGATATACAGACAGGACTGATGAGGAATAAAGATTGACATCATGGGATAGGTGAGAAGCAGCAGCGGATGGAAGGATGGATGAGTCAGAAATAGAATTGCTGGTGTTGTACATAAGTATAGGCAGGGAAATTACTGCAGGCAAAATGGAAGCAACTTGACTGAACATGTCAATTGATCGCCATTTAGGAATTCTGGAAGAACTATTGGCTAAAGTGAGAGGTTTGGAAACAGATAAATTTAATGAGTACATTAGGACAACAACGTTACTATTTGAATGCATGGCAGCAAAAGCTGAAGGATTAGAGACCTATGAAACACAGTGCTCCGACTTGCTGAGGTTTTCACCCCAGCCCTTGTGTGCTGGGTCCTCTGTCACCTTGAGGTCACCAAGGAGGTGACTTCCAGGTGGACGGGATGGGAGGGACCATCACGGGGTGAAGCAGGACTGCTGGTGACCGCACTGAAAGGGCTGTTTCAATGCTCATGTTATTGAACGTGCAGACAAATCTGCTGGGAGACTTCAGTTTCTCAAATCTTTAATGTCTTCAGGGAGGCTTAGTTGGTCTCTGATAAAGATAAAGGTCTAATACTACGCATGGAGCCTGGGTCCTTCTCATTGCTGCAGTATGTACATTGCAGAGAGTGAAACAGAGATGAGGATTTCTTCACACCAAGGAAAGGATCGTAGCATTTGGAAGCAAACAAATCTGCAATGAAGCAACCTTCACTGCCTGCTGAAGTTCACTGCGTGTTGGGCAGACCTCTAGAGCTAAGAGGAATGAGTCATTTTTAAAGACCTTGTATTATAACAGTACTTGGAGCTGGCCACAGGGATGGGCAATATCGTATGGTTTCTTTGATGCTGAAACAACAGAAGCTGACATCTACCAAATATTCGTCACAGGTTTCAGGAGACATTAATTAATTAGTGGAATTATTTTTCTTCATGATGGTCATATATCGAGAGAGCAGGTATGAGGGGCAGCTCCTTGTACACGAGGCACCTTTTCTGGAAGATACATTTTCATGGGTAGCAATTGTAAACAACCAGGGCAAGAGGAGGGGATGCAATAACCCATACATCTGCGGGAAGCAGCAAAACACAGCTATGAAGAAGCCAAAAGCAAGCATCAGTTGGAGAAAGCAGAGGAAAATAAATGAACAGTTATACGGTGACCAGTGGAGCCAAGGAAGCCAGCTTTTCTGGGAGAACTGTTGTCTCTTGTATTATCTAAATAACTATTTTCACTTGATAAAGCATCATAGAGTAATGTAGGTTGGAAGGGACCTCTGGAAGTCCCTGGTCCAACCGCGTGCACAAAACAGGGGCAACTTAGACTTCTATTCCTCTGCCAAGTTGAGCTGGAAGATTAAAAGATGATGTGGAGGAATGGGCGTATGCACCCCCCTACAGAAACACAGCGGTTGCACAGAGGTGGAGAGCTGAAGGCAGTGACCCAAATCTCACCCTCAGTGGGGTAGGGAAAACCAAGCTTTACTTACCCCGGGGATGTTTGCATGATGCATCCTTTGCGGGTGCAGTTGCAATCGCAGAATTTGTCATGAAATTGTTTGGCGTCATCGTGGCTGAAGCCTAAGCTGTGGCCTATCTCGTGGGCGAGTGTCATCACGTCGCTGACGATGTCGTGGCCAGGGAACTGCAGGTGGGAAGAAAAACCACAGGTCCACGTTTTCTCAAGTCAGTGTATGTTGATGTGGAGAACTTCAGATCTAGACTTCCAATGTTTTGCTCAGTAATTGTGAAATTCATGCTAGCTGGGGACTTGCACTGGCAAACAACCAATTAGGGAAACCAAAGGACCCCTAAACAGTTGGTCTGGGGAAGCACTGGAGAATTGTTCCTTCACCGTCTCATCTTCTTTAAGAAATGGCAAAAACAAAACCAGCATCACCTCGTTTAGATGGCCAGTTTAGGTGTTACCTGCTAATCGGTAAAAGCCTGAGCCCAGGAGTTATGTAGAATTAACTCCCAAGGTTCACTGTGAATACGAAAGGTTTATTTTTCCTTTCAGGCAGTGCAAACCCATGAGGTCTCCCCTTACCGCAACGACACCCATGGAGTTCGTCTGGCATGTTGTCCCCTTCCAGGCAAATCCTGGTTCCTTGTAGTCCTGGCCACTGCTGCGGAAAAGTTTGAACATTAAAGAAATGCAGAACAACTTTGTCTCAATAATGGGATGCATCGCCTGAATTACCGCTGGAAAATAATGGTTTCGGGTAACAAGGAGCTCCTTTCTTGAAGAAACTCCAGAATCACCCGTTTCTCCTATGGAAGCCCTGTATGCAGCCGGGCTGGTGCCCAAAGATCAGGTGTGCAAGCACCAGTGATGCGTCACTCTAAGGAGGCAAAGCCACAGTTTATAAACTCATTGGCCTCCTCCTTACTTTAAAGGGAAGAGTGGCCTATAGGCTATTTCAATAAAATATAATTATTCAAAATTATTTTAAAAAGATTTGGCAATATAATATATTGAATTTGAAAAAAGAAATATCAAATAAATTTTGACATCTATATTTTACTATGCAGAAGGTTTCTTTCCCTCCAAATAAAGGAAAAAGGAACAGACAAAACAGAAACAAGGTGCTACGTCTTAGAAAGCAAATGACTGAAATAGGTGATTGAACATCTTGCAGTTTGAGATCTAACTCCCTTGTCCTAGCAAAAAGGTTGAATTGAAATACGGAGTTGTAAACCATATAACAATGAATTATTATAGCTAAAAAATGAGTGGCTTGTATATATAAAAATGAGAAAAACTAAAAATGTGATTAAAATAATTCAGTTACAGACAACTGTATCAAAATTGGAAATAAGCTGTACGCTCTGTGTGTGTACACGTGTGGAAAAATATAAAAGAGGACAGTGAAAGGGAAAAGTGAATTCTTGTATCAATTTACATGACAAATATGTGCTGATTAGTACATGGACCGATTAAGCTGTTACATTTTTTTCCACAAGATATCACCAGGACAAAAGGCTTATCAGCATACATATGTAAAAAGTAGAAGAAAGAGAGGAAAATATTCTTGTTCCCTGCTTATCTCCCCACAGCCGGTATGTGAGTGGAGTGATTAAAACGCAGGACTCTTACAGCAGTAACTGGATATGGTCGTAATTAATGCGACCGACAGCATCCCTCTGACACCACGTGGCAAAAAACTCCAGCGTCTGGGCCAGGCTGTGGGCGGGCGTCACCTGGTCCCTCCTGGTCCACATCTCCACCGCGCTGATGACGATCTGCAGGTTCATGCGCTTGTAGACCTGGAAGATGGCAAGAGCTCGCATCCCCTGCAGCCCATGGGGCGTGCAGCGACCCTGGGCACCGCACTTGTCTCCGCGTTATTCGTGCAAGAACCAGTTTCTTGCTAAAGCTGCAAGAGCTGAGCGTGCCATTTATTTTCGTGCATTATATTAATTTAATGGGGCTTTCTTTGTAGCTCATTTTTGAGTGCCTCAGGGCTGAGCTCGTGGCTGATGCACTGGCGCCTTGTCAGTGTATTCACACAGAAGCAGCAGAAGATGAAAACTCGTGCTGTTTTAGAGGACTCGGAGCAAGAAGGAGGTGAAGAGACAGGGAGATCATAATGAGCTACCAGAAAGCATTTAGTAACAATAATGCATATTCCCTATCAAGTGTTTTAAAGGGGTGATTTCACAATTATCTTTAAACTGACTTCACTCATATTTGAAGCAGTTTTTTTCACAGTTGAAGTGGGTTTTGTAGCGTTGAGGAATGGTTCCTGGTAGAGTAGCTGCAGTCAGGCACAGATCATTCATCTCTTTCCCAGGGGGAAATGGGTAGCAATTGTAAACAACCAGGGCAAGAGGAGGGGATGCGGTAACCGATACATCTGCGGGAAGCAGCAAAACACAGCTATGAAGAAGCCAGCAACGGAGTTAGACAGCTAGCAACGGAGCAGAACGGCGATTGTAACTACCACGTCATTAAAACTCACTGTGTTCAGGAGGTTGCTTATGGAAATTAGCTGATGTAGCATCAGGGTTTCATTGTAGTCGTTAACTTTAAACTGAAAGGGGAGAAAGGCTACGTTACAGCGCTGAACGCCAAGGACTGCCTCCAATATAACCCGACGGCCATAGCACGGCGATGATTTCTGATGCTTACCAGCTCTGTGTTCGTGACCAGAGCCAGCTCCAAGTATCTGGTGGGCAGGGTCTGGAGACCAGGAACCTCCTGGAAGTGAACAAGTCACGCTGTGGTTATCGAGGTACGTTCAGGAGCTTTAAAGCTTACGCCACGTTGCAAAAACCAAGGTGGTGTTACTCAAACTAATCCTGAATTTCCCTTAAGTCCAAGAACACAGAGCAATTATGCATTAGAGAAGGATTAATGAGCGTAACGAGTAATCAGGGTGAGAGCAGAGAGATCAAGAGACAGAACACAGTTTTAGGTGGGGTTTTCTTGGTAGCAGGGCGATTACCTGCCATTGCTCATGTTAAATCGGCTCACTTTGAGCTGCAGACTTTTGTACATGCTCAGACCACTTTTTAATCATTAAATTTGGCACCACAAAAGCTGCGTCAAAGGGAGAATTGAGGGGGGTCAACACGAGCTGCCTGCATCAAGCACTCAATGCTAGAAACCAGGAAGGTAAACAGGTAATTGCAGATAAAAACTGGTCCTGACGTGAAATTGTTCAAGCCATGTGAAAGCCACTAAAATAACTTTTACTTAGTTTTGCTTCATTTTACCCAGCACACCTGCGTAATACAGCAAAAGGGAGCATGACCCAGTCCGTGAGAGGCACCATGTACTGAGCCTGGGATCCAGCAGCCGCTAGAAATAAGGTTTTTGGTATTTCTTGCTTGTGCCCTTTGCACATTTACCTGTGAATGGGCAGCTCCGTAGTTAAAATCTGCTGTAAAAGAGGGGAGATTCAGGCTAGATATAACGAAGAAATTCTTTACGATGAGGGTGGTGAAACCCTGGCACAGGTTGCCCAGAGAGGTGGTAGATGCCCCATCCCTGGGAACATTCAAGGTCAGGTTGGACGGGGCTCTGAGCAACCTGGTCTGGTTGAAGATGTCCCTGCCCATGGCGGGGGGGTTGGACTAGATGACCTTTAAAGGTCCCTTCCAACCCAAACTGTTCTATGACTCTATGATTCTAAGTGCGACACGCTCAGTCTTGGGCTGGGTAGAGCGCATTGACTTCTACATTTTGTACATCCAGCACATTAATTTCTAGTAGCAATTGATTAATGGGTAATCTGGGGGTTATTCTTCTCCTCGGAGCAGGTATTGCTCATTGGCAGCAATGTCTCATCTCTGATGGAGTGAGCGCACAGTGGGACTGTGAGGGTGTTCGAGACCTGCAGATTTGTTAAGTGACGAGGAGAAAAAGAAGCTGACCCTACAAAACCCTGGCTGGTAGCTTTGGCATTGGCTGAGGTGAGGGTGAGGAAGACACGTTAGCATTTCTCCTGGGTAGTTCCCAGGCATTTCAGTGGTAGAAGAGAGGAGGAGGAGTTTTTATTGCTCAGAAAGACAACTTTCTAAATGGTTTGGCTGTTGCAGAAGTATGCATGGCTAAAAAAAATGCTGTTGCTTAAGTCATTTTAAGCACGGGGACTCATGTCTCTTCTCTGTTGAAC